TGAAGACTCTAGTGTATACGGTGCCATAGCCAGGGTAACGAGGGACAGCACCACCTTTGCTGGGACAACAGTCTGGGATGCAGGACGCTGCCATCAGAAGAGGCTGCCCTGACGAGGTTTTACTTTAATTTTCCTTTATTTTGGTTTGGGTCTAAGGTTGTTTACCTGACTCCCCTCTGTCCTTCCCTCTCCTCCCCTCCCCTCCCCCCATCATTGCATCTTTTTTCTTTAGGTCTTTCTTCAGCATTCAGTAGTTTTAGCTCAGTTAAGTAACTAACTCTGTCCTAGAAAATTGTGTGCCTTGTGCCCTGTGCCCTGTGCAATAGCCTAGTGGCTAAAATCTTTGTCTTGCATGCACCAGGATCCCATATGGATACCAGTTCTAATCCTGGTGGCCCCGCTTCCCATCCAGCTCCCTGTTTGTGGCCTGGGAAAGCAGTCGAGGACAGCCCAAAGCCTTGGGACCCTGCACCCACATGGGAGACCCAGAAGAGGCTCCTGGCTCCTGGTTCATGGCTTCTAATTGGCTCAGCTCCTGCCCTTTCAGCCACTTGGGGAGTGAACCATGGGATGGATGATCTTTCTGTCTCTCCTTCTCTCTCTATATCTGACTTTCCAATAAAAATAAATAAATCTTTTTAAAAATAATAAAATTGTGTTTCCACAAAAGCATATGTCTCCAAAATACAAAATAAATATCCTATTCATTGATTGCTGATGCTCTATTTCGATCTTTTTAAGAATTCATTTATTTTTATTTAGAAGGCAGATGTATAGAGATGCGGGGAGAGACAGATCTTCCCACAGTGGTTCATTCCCCAAAAGACCACAACAGCCAGCAGCCAGGAACTTCTGCCGGGTCTCCTTTGTGGGTGCAGGGGCTGAAGGACTGGAGCCATCCTCAGCTGCTTTCCCACACAGCAGGAAGCTGAATCAGAAGTAGAGCAGCTGGGCTGTGAGCAGGTGCCTCTGTGGGGTGTCAGTACCGCAGAGAGGCTTAACCTACTGTGCCATGGCACCAGCCACTGAAAGATAGGTGTCTTTTTTTTTTTTAATGCACAAGTGCTTCTTCTTCTTCTTCTTTTAATTTGCATGTGAATGTGACTTATTATCCTAAAAAGGATGGAACAAAATTATTAATATGTGTCTGCAAAACTCTCCCTCCTCCCAGAAGCAGAGACGTGACAGCTGTGAGTGAAGAAGACCCAAGCCTCCTAATCAATTCTCTAAGGAAAGCAGTGAGAAGGGAGCACAGGCTGGCTCCCCTAACCTGGAAGACCAGGAGGGAGGTGAGTCACCCCAGCTTTCTGCGGTGTTTGCCACTGTTACAGTGGAAGAATGGAGTGAGAATGGCCACGTAATTTCAAGACCCGGTACACAATAAAAATGTGAGTTCTGGGGTGTCAGCATCCCATACGGGCACCGGGTTGAGTCCCAGTCCAGCCCCCTGCTAATGTGTCTGGGAAAGCAATGGAGGATGGCTGTAGCGCATGGGCCCGTGGACCCACTTTGGAGACCTGGAGGGAGCTCCTGGCTTCAGGCTGGCCTTTGTGGCCTTTAGGGAGTGAACCAGAGGATGGAAAAGCTCGCGCTCTCTTTTTTCTTCTCCCCATCTCTGTAACTCCTTTTATATTAACTTTCAGTTTAAAAAAAATTTTTAAATAACCACACACACAAATACACACATACACACACACACGGTTTTCTATTCTACTTGCCAATCCCTTAAACTTGTATGATTCAGGTCAATGTTCTGTCAAATTCCACACTCTACACAGCACTCTGCACAGCACTCTGCACTCTCGCATTTGCACATGTCATCTGTGCTGATGTTGGCTTCTTTTTTCCTTGGCAATTAACTACTCTTCCCTGTAGGGAAGACAAGCCCTGTTCTTAGGTGTGGACCTTTTTCATTTCCTGCCTCTGTATCAACAAACAAGGAATAAGTACACTTTATAATAGTCTGATTGCACTAATAGCTCCGCTTAAAGGACTCCCTTTTCCACATCTCTTCTTTGCAATTCTGTGTTGCTCTCCTGTTGTAACCCTGGGCTTGGTCATGTAGCTTCTTTTTGTGAAGGCTTAAAAAATGCTGTGTTTCCACTTTTTACTTGGAACCCTATCAGCATCTTGAAAAAAGAACAACAACAATAACAAAAAAAAAAAAACACCCAAGCTCTCCTGCTCAAGGGTGACAGCTCCCCGGACACAGCTGAGCTGTCCTAGTGAGATTATCGGCTAGTCCAGACAGCTGCCAGCCAGTCTGTCACAAGACTGCAGTACATGAACAAGCCCCGAAACCAGGCTGGCCCAAGCTGGCCTGGTGGAACTGTCTGGCTAACCGGCAGGCTCGCAAGGAGTCATAAGCGGTAATAGTTTTCAGACACTCGGTTTGTTATGTAATCAGGCTAACATAAGCTCTCACCCTCATCTTCCCACTCTCGGGGGAAGAAGGATTCCTCTCCTTTAAAAGGCAAATCCCTCCACTCACCCTTTATTCCATTCCTGCACTTCACCCTCACCCCTCGGATGATCTCTCTATCTCTGCTCTCTTTTGACCTCTTTCCTTCAAAAATAAACATGTTCAAATCGTCCTCCTTTAAAATAAAACAAGCACACAGAGAAAAATAAACCTGTGTCTTCGCCAAGTTATTGACCTATTCTGTCACTCTCTTCGTTTTTATTTCTTGAAAGGATTGTCCGCATTGGGGTATTAGGGTTCTCCAGGGAGAGAGAACCAACAAGATGTATATGTATATATAGACAGATGTATACAAAGAGGCAGAGAGATTTATTTTCAGGAATTTGTTTACACTCTTGTGGGAGGTTAGCAAGGCCATAATCTCAGGCTGAAGATGGGTAGGCTAGCGACTGGGGGAAGATTTGAACAATGCAGTCCAAATTCATTCAGCTGGAGGAATTCCTTCTTGCTCACAAATCAGCCATTGTTCTAATATGCCCTTCGGTTAATTAGATGAAGCCCACCCACACTGTGCAGGGCAATCTGCTTCACTTGAAACTCAGACTTCATGGTCAACCTCATCCAAAACCCATCTTTTAAAACCATCCACGATTCAATCGGACTAAATGTCCAGATACCATGGCCTGACAAAGTGGACACATAAAACTCAATCATAATTTCCTGCTGTCATTTTTGGTGTTCATTAATCACTCACCCTTTTCATTTTCCTCTTATTCATCCACTCAAGGCATCTGATGCTGCAGATGCCATTCTCTTTTCCCATTTGCTCTCTCTTTGATCTGAGTTGGGATTAATTTTTCAGATACTTCAAGTCCACTGAATTTAACAGAAAAATAGATGATTCAGTGTCTTGGGAAAGATGAAACAGAAAGGCAAGGACCACGAGGAGCTGGGAAAAGCAGCAGGTGGAAGGTTCTCACAGCGCTGACTAAAGAGGGAGAGGTGTCCCAACAGCCTCGGCTGACCTCTGACCACCTACGGGGTTGGAGGAGGAGGGGCTGGGGCCGGTCCAGCCCCTGTCCCGGGGACCAGCCCAGCGTGGAGGGATGAGAGAAGTGCTTGCCAGCTCCTCAGATACGCTGGCAACCTAAGGTACCCAGGCTTCCGTGGCTGTTTCCTTCCATGGGCTCATGAGCTCCTTGGAGGGAAGTGGACTGAAGTGTGTGCACTTTGTTGATTGTGCCCTCAGAGGGAGGGAAGGAGACAGCATTTCTGCTTCCCTTTCCACTGCGTGGATGGAGTGGAGCCTGGATGCTGAGCCGCTCTTAACCTCAGGAAGTGATTACCTCTGGAGGGGTGGAGGAGAGAGGGTGCAGTAACAGCAGGGAGCCAACACACCCTGGCCTTCCATGAGAGGTGATAAGACTAGTACATTTGCCCAGCTACATTAAAAATATATATATATTTATTTATTTATTTTTATTGGAAAGGCAGATATACAGAGAGAAGAAGAATCTGCTGGTTCACTCCCCAAGCGACTGCAGCAGCCGGAGCTGAGTCAATCTGAAGCCAGGAACAAGGAGCCTCTTCCAAGTCTCCCGTGTGGGTGCAGGGCCCTAAGGCTTTGGGCCGTTCTCTACTGATTTGGAAGCTACAAGCAGGTAGCTGAATGGGAAGTGGACCAGCTGGGACACGAACCATTGCCCATATGGGTTGGTTCTCTACTTGAGCTAGTTTAGAGGTGCACTTCAGCACAGGAATAGGGACTGTGCATGGCCAGAGCAGGAGACGGGGTGCAGTGAGTGAGGAGTGACCCCGTGTCTTAGTGGAGGACGCATAGAGAAGTCACCTCCAGCACGTCACCTCCCTGACCTGGGCCAGTCCAGGTTGTTCTCAAGTGGCACGGACGGATGAGGAGCGCGCTGCCTCGGGGCTCCTGTTGTTCCAACTGTTCTACCATGAAGAAAATGTTGTGTGACTCCTGCTGAAAATGGAGTCAAGTATAAGCTGCAAATTACCCAGAGTCCTTTCTGTTCCCCTCCCAGGTGGCACTCCAGAGAAGCTGTGGGCCACATCAGGCTGTTCAGCCTTAACTAAAATTAAATAAAATTTAAACATCAGTTCCTCATGCTAAGTGTATTTCAAGTGCTCGGAGGTCACGTGGCCAGTGGCTTTGGCATTGGGCGGCACATTCCCATCATTCCAGAGTTCTTTTAAACTCGTCCAGTGAGTCTACTCATCTCCCAGTCTGTGCTCGTCCACTGGATAAAGCAGATTTTAAAGCCGCTAATGACAACAGAATCATTCAGCCTATTGCAGCTAAGGGCGTGATTTGGGAATCAAAGTCTAGGATTCTTCCACTTGGGTAACCCAGACCTGTGTAGGAGGACTGGCAGCCTAGGGGCGGGGCCTAGAGCCGGGCAAGGGCCGATCCCGAAGGCCGGGGAGGGGCCTAGGGTGGTGGGGCGGGGCCTGCCGCGGAGGGGCGGGGCCAACCGCTGCCGGGAGGGAGCCCGTCACTGGGGCCGGGGCGGGGCTGAGCGCGGGGGGCGGGGCCTCGGGGCGGGGCCACCAGGCCCGGCGCGCCCGCCCGGCCGTGCGTGCTCACGTGATAGATCCGCGAGCCCCGTGCGCGCAGTCGTCTGGGCGAGCGAAGATGGCGGCCGAGAGGGAACCTCCTCCGCTGGGGGACGGGAAGCCCACCGACTTTGAGGAGCTGGAGGACGGGGAGGACCTGTTCACCAGCACCGTCTCCACTCTGGAGGTGAGACCCTGTGGCCGTGGGTGCCGTGCTCGCCGCTGCCGCGCGTCTGCTCTGCAGGGTGCCTCTCCCCTGCCCGGACGTGTCTCCTCCCCACCCCCTGGGTTGGCGAGGACCGGGTCGGGGTGACACCTGTGACGCGGGCTGTCAGTGGCCGGGCCCTCGCGCTGCCCGCTGGCCGCCTCCCGCAGGCCGGCACAGGGCTTGCCCTGAGTCCCCCGGGGCTGGCCTGTCCCCTTGCCGGGGGAGGGTGTGCCCGACGGGGGCGCGCGTGAGGGGGTGTGGGCTGCTCGGTGCAGAGCCCGGCGAGGGGGCTTCTCGGGGGTGGGTGCTGTGCGCCCCCGCGGCCCCTGCTCGTCTGCCCCGGACTCTGCAAGGAGCCATGGCGTCAAGATAAAGTTGACGGCAGGAAACTGCTTTTTCTTTTTCTTTCTTTCTTTTTTTTTAAAACTCAACAGGGAAGAAATAGAAACAGATCCGCACTGCTTTTTCCTCTTTTCTCGCATGGTCAGCGATCTCTGAAGCTGAGTGTTCCTGTTTTTGTCAGAGGAAGCACCCTCCCTGTGCTTGACCGTGTTGGGCCCGCCCCTGGTCCCTTGGCCCTGGGCTTGGTGAGCGCCCACTCCTCAGAGCTTCATATTAGGGGCGTGTGTGGCCCCCTCCTGCCTTCTGCAGTATTTGGGATGTCTTCTTGGCTTGCTCGGTCCTGCACCAGATCCATTGGAGATTACTGTAACACTCCCACGATTTGAAGTTTAGTTACCTGAAACTAGGGATTTCCAAGGAGTTTACAGCCATGACTGCATTCTGCTCGTTGTTTTGTGGGTGTCCCAGCCAGACCCCGTCTCCCTCAGATGTTTGCTTTCCTGGGCCAGCGGGTAGGTAGATGCCTCAGGCAGCTTGGTGTTCACTGCAGAATCCTGAGCATTTATTTGCTCAGCGTTTGCTGGGTCAGTTGTCAGAATCGGCGTCTGCTAAGAATTAGGAAAAGCTGTTTTGCAGCATGTGGTTTTGGGTAGCTTTACCCAGCGTGTAGGACTACAGCTGCCTTAGCACGTGTCACCAGGTTAGTGTCTGCACCATTCCAAGACCTCTGTTCCCTTTGGAATGCAAAGGCTTTCCAGCAAGAACAAACTTGATTTAACTGGTATGACCTAGTATCGTACTGGACCCTAGTGGAGAGGAGCATCCATCAGCTTGTTCACATCCCAGTGACCTCCAACATGTGGGGCCAGGTCAGCCCAAGGTCTGCTTCCAGGTCTCCCTCAGGGCTGTCGTGAACACTCGTCCCTCCATGTGCTGCCTTCCCAGGTTCCTTAGCAGAAAGCTGAGCTGAAGCACAGCCATCCCAAGATCCCAAGTGGTGGCTCAGCCTGCTGTGCCCCAGTGCCCTCTCCTGTGCTATTTATTTTTTAAAATTAGCTTTAATTGGAAAGGCAGATTTCCAGGGAAGGAGAGACAGAAAAGGATCTTCCATCTGCTGGTTCACTTCCCAGATGGCCACAAAGGCCGGAGTTGAGCCGGTCTGAAGCCAGGAGCTTCTTTCTGATATCCCATACAGGCACAAGGTCCCAAGGCTTTGTAGGCCGTCCTCAACTGCTTTCCCAGGCCACAAGCAGGGAGCTGGATGGGAAGTGGAGCAGCTGGAACACGAATTTGCACCCTTATGGGATGCTAGTGTGTGAAAGGGGAGGATTAGTCAATTGAGCCATGGTGCCAGACCCCCCACCCTCCCAAGATTGTTAATTTTAAGAGGATGATACATGGCTGTGAGATAATGTAAATTCAAGTTTTTGTTCCTTTTTAAACTGTTTGGGAAAGTATGTTAGCAGTGTGTGGGTGTATGTGTGTGTGTGTATATATTTCTGGTGTATCAAGTAATTTAAAAGGAATGCTCTTTCAGTACTTTTAAAAAATTTGTCAACTTTGAATCTGTTTTGTTTATTATCTTGAAAGGCAAATCTTCCATGTGCTCGTTTCCTGCTCACAGTGCCTGCAACAGCCACGTCTAGGGCAAGGCAAAACCAGGAGCCCAGAATTCAGTCCCCATCTCCATGTGGCAGGCAGGGATCCAGGGGCTTGATCCACCTGCTGCCTGGGATTGGAGCAGTGCCGAGACCCACGCCCGGGCGCTCTGATGAGGGAGCTGGGCCTCGGAGCAGCACGAATGCCCACGCCAACCGTGCTCTCAGTGTTGCTTCTTGAACCTCAGGGGGCAGAAGAATCCGCAGAATTCCCGTCCGGCTCCTCACCGGAGTCTGCATGCTGCTAGAGTTCGCTGGGTTAGGGCTCTCAAGCTTTGAGAGCGAGTGACAGCAATCTTGAGCAGCACTGGCATACAGCTCAAAGAAATCTCATGTTTAACAAACTTTCCTTATGACATTACTCCTGGTCCAAAGGTGACACCCGAAGTGATACTGATCGGATCACCTGTCTTGAATAGGTATTAAGGAAATATGTAATACTTGTACTTTAAGTTAAAAGTAGTACATTGAGGGGCTGACACAGTGGCTTAACAAGTTAATCCTCCACCTGCTAGTGCCAGCATCCGTTATGGACACTGGTTCATGTCTCGGCTGCTCCACCTCCTACCCAGCCATTTGGGAAGTGAACCATTGGATGGAAGACCTCTTTCCCTGTAAAATCTACCTCTCAAATAGAAATAAATCAAAATCTCTTTAAAAAATGACACATAAAGAGCTATGTTTTAATTAAAGAAAATTAAGCTCTTAATATTAATCATAGAGAAATTTTTTCATTTGGGAGGGGAAGAAGGTCAGTGGAAACCCATACAAGTTAAAGTCAAATTATAAACGGCTTCAGTTGTTTGCTTTACAGTGGCTACACGTTAGGTCTGTGTGCTTGTGTGTATTGTATATAAATGTTTAAATCAATATTAAGCTTTTCATATTAAAAGTTTTCAGATTAGCTATTCTGCACATTAAGCAGTTAATGACATCCTTGCTGTGTGTTTCTGTTGAACTGTGGGATGGAGTGTGAAGGGGCTGAGGTGGGGCAGGGAGGAGAATGAGAAGAGAAGCTGGGACAACTTGCTCTTTTGGCGCTCAAGAGGCAAGACTTCCATCTCCTTCACCCTCTTGAAATTGTGTACAAATGCTGCGTTTTCTTATAATGATAAAACTCCAAGCTTGAAAGTTTTCAGCCACTAAGCACCTTTTTTTGGAGGTGGAGATGGCAACTTTAAAAAGAAGACACAGAACATATTCCCATCCTGTCTTCATTTCTTCATTGTTGTGTCTGAGGATCATCAGGATACCAGGTTACGAACATTCACCCTTGTGTTTTTGTCTAAGAGTCTGGTAATTTAACCCTTTTATTAAGATCTAATTTTATTATTATTATTATTTATTTATTTGAAAGGCAGCATTACAGAGAAGGCGATTTACTGATACCTTCTGTGAGTTGGTTCATATCCCCTGTGACTGCAGTGGCCATTGCGGCCAGTCTAAAGCCAGGAGCCAGCAGCTTCTTCTAGGACTCATGTGGCTGGCAGGGCCATATTCCACTGCTTTTCCCATTCTGTTAGAAAGCTGAATCAGAAGTAAGCAGCCTGCGGAACTTGAACTTGGCATCCATATGGGATGTCGCTGTTGCAGGCAGTAGCTGTACCTGCTGTGCCACAATGCCAGCCCCAGAGTTCTGATCCACTTAGTTTTTGTATGTGGCATTAATTAAGAATCTAGCATTGATCTTTGGTGTGTGGCCGTTCTGTTATAGTACCATTTGCTGAACAGACTTGAAAATCAGACGACCATGTGTGCGTGATTGCTCTTGGCTCTTGACAAAACTCCAGCCTCAGAGTCACCTTAGGTACAGCGGAGGGCCACAGTCTGCCCAGCGTTTCCATATGGTAGTGTTTATGAAATGGTTTATAGACTATTTCACCTAGAATGTCACAGGTCCTAGCAGTACTTTCCCAAGGCTGCTATTTGACATAGTAATCAAGATGCCCGTGGGAACATCTTCCCGTGTTGGTTTTGAGACCTGCTTTGCTTCTGACTTGGTGTTCCTGCAGTGCATGTTCTGAAATGAGTACTTAGGTCCAGGCCCCGCACAGTGGCTCAGTTAGCTCATCCACTCCCCGCTTCCTCCTTCAAGAGCCGCAATCCCATTTGGGTAACGGTTTGTGTTCTGACCATTCCACAGTCCATCCAACCCCCTGCTTATGGCTTTGAAAAGTAGTGGGGGATGGCTCAAAGCCTTGGGACCCTACACCCTTATAGAAGACCCAGAAGAGGCTCCAGGCTCCTGGCTCCTGCACTGGCTGCTGTGGCCAGTTGGGGAGTGAACAAGAGTGGATGGAAGATCTTTTTATCTTTCCTCCTCTCTGTATATCTGTCACTCCAATAAGAAATAAACTGTTTTATTTTTTTAAAGTGCTTACATCCTAGATGAGGATTTGGGCTCCTAGCTTCCATCTGGTCCAACTTGACTATTTCAACTAAATGGAAATAAACCATGGTCAGGAAAACTCTCACCTCTTTCTTTCTCTGTTCCTCTTTCCCCCATCTTTCTTCTTATGTGTCTTTGCCCTTCAGATAAAGAGTTTTGTTGTTGTTGGTATTTTTAAGATTTATTTTATCTTTATTGGAAAGGCAGATATACAGAGAGGAAGAGAGACAGAGAGGAAGATCTTCCGTCTGATGGTTCACTCCCCAAGCAGCCGCAATGGCCAGAGCTGCACTGATCCAGAGCCAGGAACCAGGAGCCTCTTCCAGGTCTCCCACACAGCTGCAGGGTCCCAAGGCTCTAGGCTGTCCTCCACTGCTTTCCCAGGCCACAAGCAGGGAGCTGGATGGGAAGTGGAGCCACCGGTATTAGAACCGGTGTGTCCAAGGCTAGGGCCCTAACTGCTACGCTATCATGCCAGGCCCCAGATAAATAGTTTTTAAAAATAAATGTATTTCTTTCCCATCACTTCACCCTAGGCTGTAGTGTTCATGCAAGACAGCAAATTTAGTTGGATGCATCAAATTCTTGAC